GATGTATTCATCCTATTTCGTATGAGGTAATTAAGGGCTGGTAGTTGAATTTTCTTACAACGATATGAGTAGGCCTCATGCTTTCATAGAATTTTACATAGTCTTGCTTTACCAAAAGGTATTCTCATCCCGGTTGGCGTGGAATGCATTTTCTACCTCACCTAGGCCTCATCGGCACCATCAGGGAAACTCGAACTAGGGTAGCACAGCGTATTGTCGCATATATATAATCAACTGGTAGTCTCGAGAAACTACTTATACATGAAAAACAGTGCACGGTATTGCCTCAATCCCCGACAGCAATTCTTTAAAAGTAAGTTTGTTCTAAAATGTAATAAGGCTTCAAGAGGAGTTGGTATGATAAGAAAGAATTGAGAATCAAAGTGTTTTAAGGTATACAAGCCGTTCTTGAGAGGTTAAGATATTGAAAGCTAGTATGGCGGTCGGAACAGTAAGTGCCAAATAAAACATTTTTTTGGAAAGCAAACCCAGTTCTCCAGTCTAGAGAAAAAGTAGTAAAAGCTCTTGCGTTGGTCTTGCACATTATTTAATTTAGGCCTGACGCCTCGAGTAATGCTAGGCCTGCTGAAGCTGATCCAACTTTACCTGCCAAACTATTCATATCGAAACACGCCAACAAATTCCTTCACCTAAAATTCCCTAGTGATGGCGGAAAGATAAAGCTACACTTAAAATGAGTAGACCAACTCACCTGCTCAAACGTTTGAAGCTTAGCCCGAAGCTCGGCAACTTGATTCAGAAGGCGTGCATTCTCGATTTCCAAGGCTTAAATGATCAAGAAAAGTAAAAATAAATTTGATATTAAGTGAAGAAAGATTTGATATAAAATTTTGTGCGGCTTGGGAAATATGAATATACATATGAAGTAATAGAAAAACTGAAATCCAAACTAGTCTAGGGTTAAGCTTTTGTTCTACTCGAGTTTCGGAATCCTTACATGAAGAATCATTCAATAAAGAGTAAATCGGAACAAATTAAGAGATGGGCCAGATAAAGTAAAAATGTTTCTAAGTCTCCTGACTTATTGCCTGTTCTTTTTACCTAATCCATTTTCCTCTTGATTTAGTGTTTTGTGTGAAGAATATGCTAGATACCAGCTACTTTTCTCCTTCTAACTGCTAATGGTGATCTACAGGAAGACGAAATTTCAAAAATGGCTTAGGTAGGCTGAAATGAGATATTTTTGATAAAGAGTGGCAGAAGGAGTATTTAAAGAAGTACATGTGGGTATGGAAGGGCTTACGGAGATGTTAATTCATGCTCCTGATTGTTGCCTGCACCATACGGTTGGTTGATTTCAGCTAACTTCAATTCAGAGTGAAGGTACTCAAGGATAGACCAGTTTCCTCCACAAATGGCAGTGAAGCCTCCAGACGATTTACCCCCCAAAACGATCGACTATGCACCTATACTTCTTCTTGTCAGTAGAAACCAAAATAAATTATCCTATACAAACGAATGAGTCCCACAGCCTCGTAAAAGCAAGTATTCGCCTCACACCATCGAGGTCTAGCCCGTTGTCGAAGTTTAAAGCATCAGTCAATTACTTGTAGACCTTCAGATTTGTGAAGGGGCCTACCACATATGCTATTTGTACGTTAATGAGCCTGTTACAGGAATAAATGGCGAAGGTTAATTTATTTTTCAGATATTAAATCCTTATTTTAAATCAAGAGGATTTCGAAATCGTTTATGGGAACCCTCGTTCGATATAGCTAAAAATATTAATAAGATAAAATTTTATTTTCTTAGCCTCTTAGGCTTGTTGGAAGAAAATTTAATTTATTCCATTTTATCAATATTTTGTGGGGCCTCTTCTTGCCTTGATTTCTGAATTGAGATGTATTGGTAAATATACCAGAGAAAACTATGCTCAGCTACGTACTGTATCTTCCCAAGACTTGTTTGATAGAATTATAATATGGTCTCTGAAATGGAAAAGACAATTTTCGGCCTTTCTCATATAAGAGATAAAATTTTAATTCAAGTACCATTCATAGTGTTATAGGAATATGTATCTAGATGGCGTCTTCAGAACCAGAACTTGTGGAGAAGGTATCTTTTAGCCGTGATTAAATAAATGAATTAATCCTAGCTATGCACTTCTGAAGCAGTCGCATGCTATCATAGACTGATTTCGTGATCTGAATGAACAACGTGTTCGGTTATGTTCATAAACTGGAGTGAACTTCCTCCATGTAGGGAAATTAGAAGCACACTTTCATATTATGGATTTGGATCCACGTTCTGCATAACTGTGTTCAAGTAGGGTAGATTTTACCATAGTTGGAAAAAGAGTTCTTGAATAAGAACTTAGAACAAATATAAAAAATTTGCTTGTGCTTTGGTTTGCTTATAAACTAAGGAATCACATGGTAAGGAAGAGTATGAATGCTTATGTTTTTGTATTTAAAGTAAATGATGCCACTTTATTTTCCGGGGCAGCAATAGAAATCTACTAACCAGAAGGGTGAAGCAAAATTCTTTGATGGGCTCACTTTGGTCAAGCAATTTAGCCGAAATGTTACGAGATGACCTTTGAAAACTCTTTCAACTTAAAAAAAAACAAATTAAAATAGCTATATAAACCAAGCTACTTATTTTACATGAAAATATTGCCTAAGAATTGCTTTAAAAAGCATTGATCAACAAATGAGCTGTGATGAATCAGTGATACTAAGTCCAAAAATCTCACTTAGATGCTATCAAAATGCCACTTACCATTAATACTTCCTATCTATACCAAACGAAGGAGTAAAAGATGGAAATTGTAGAAGATACTCTGCTACGAATAATTGGTTACAAAAATAGCAAAATAGCGACTACCTTCTCGAAGCTAGTACGTACATATAGGCCAAAAATGTAGAGTATGGATATAAACAACATACATAACAATAGTGCATAAGCAGATAAAATTCTCAATAGCAACCTATAAATTAACCTTCAGATCGGGAGTTCTGCCTATGAATTCCTGCCGCATTCGCCTGCCTTGTTGGCGATTGGCTGTCACGGAGACACCAGGTCTGTTTTGCTTTCTCTCGAGACGGATCCTCACCAAGGGCTTCTGTCGCAGCCCGGTTCAGCAGAGTTAACAACGGCAACAATGGCCGGTCTGCAATCGAGCCACTCGACTGAACAACTGGAATTGAGCCAGCACACCTCTGCGATAATATGTCCCCATAAGAAGCCACCGTTGGCCGACCAATGTGGTTGTCGCAGCGTTCCTGTGACCTAGGTTCTCGATCATGATGACCCGGCCAGGGGCCGGTGGAAGCTGCTTCTCTCATAATTATGTGCTTTAGACCCTTTTAAAAGAAAATCATCACAATAAATTGGGGAAGGAATTGCAGACTACGCACAAAGACGGAGTGAGATGATGGATTAAAAATAGTACGTATTCAGATATAAAATAGCGCCCATTGAGTATAAAGTGATATTAAAATACACGATTTTTGGCTCCAACTC